CCCTGGCAGCAGTGTGGGGTTAAGGGTCTTAGTCAGAAACCCAGAGGGGCAGCTATGGGAGTGGGGCTTGAACTCAGAACCTCTAAGCCACTTCTCCCCTAAACATTTCACATTTGGCCAATAATTTAATTTTCTTTGGTTGTCTAGGTATTTCAGCCCACTAATTTGTATTTTTTGCTATTGTGGGGTTTACATATGAGGCACAGATGCTAATTTTGTTTACTAACTCCTTAAAATGGATAAGTTAAACAAACTTTAATAAGGTACATTGGAAAAATGATCCCTGTCTGCACTAAAATGTTTGACTCCTCTGGAAACGTAACCATGTTTATGGTCCATGTGTGTTTTCCCGGCAGGGACACTGAGAAGGGTGGTATGGGATGTAACATTTTGTAAAACTTACTCAAGAATGATATAGCATCAAAGCTTCTAGATGTATTTCATCCATCCATCCATCCATCCATCCATCCATCCATCCATCCATCCATCCATCCATCCATCCATCCATCCATCCATCCATCCATGTTTTTTTTAAACATAATTATTTAATTTTATATTTTAATTTTTTTATATAAATTTTTAATTTCTTTCAACAGATATCAAAATGAAAGTAGATCAAACAGCTGTAAATGAGGTGGAGATCGAGCAAGACAATTAAAATCAGTCAAATTCTGACAAACTGAAGAACAAAAACATCAAAATTTAAATCTGCTTCACAAGAGAAGCAAAGATGTAGCACTTTTATATACCAAAACACTGAGGTGAGGAAGTACAACCGAATTACATAATTTGTATTTAAATCTGTTAGTTTCCTGTTTGAATCCATTTGAAGACTTTATTAATCCTTGTTAGAGCCCTTCAGGGTCTGGCCCCTGATTATCTGAAGGAATCTGTGCCAACAGGAGCACTCATGTCCACCATCCACATTCTCTTTCTAATACCATAAAAAAAAGACAAAATAGGTGACTTGGCCTACGCAAGCACTCCCTGATATGATTTACACCCACTAAGAAGAAGCGATATTCATCAGTGAGCTTAAAAAACATTATGAAAATCCAACTTTACTTTTTCGATTTTAACTTTGGTCCATTTACTGTGGGTTTAAATGTGATTGATAAATACACAACAGTAGCAAATAAGGGTCCAGGGCATAAAGGGACATTTTACTTCATACCCAGGATGTTTTTATTAGGGAAATAGTTTCATTTTTAGTCAAATATGAAAGATGTTCTGAAATGCTGAATATTACTCACCAAGTATTGCTCTGTTTCAACATTAGGTAGCATTACAAACAGCTTAATTATTTTAGACACTGGTGGTATTTTTGTGTTTAATTACATTAGATAGACTTGTATGTATTCAGGGAAAATACACAATAAAAACATTTTTAAAAAGATAAAATATGCATAGCACCGTGTTATAAATTTTTTAACCGTTAACAGTTAACAGTTGTAGGGAAGTGGCTATTTCAACCGTTGCATTTCCGAATTCTCCCTAGCGGTGCACAACTTTAGATGAGTGAATAAAGTGAATGTGATTGGTCGTCTATCAAGAGGGCGGGATGTTGTGGCGGAAGATTTGATTGAGGCCGATTTGTTGGAATAATCTTGCTAACCAGTTAGCCACTTAGTGCTAATAGGTTCCCAATGGGAAATCATATTGGGACCAAGTAGCACTAAATTGGTGACTTAGAAACGACTGTCAAGGGACGCTATGGACAGCGGAAACATGAGCGAGGAGGAGAGTTTTGTGTCGGAGGTCGTGGATGAGTCTCTTCCGTCATACATTTTTTATTTAGAGGAGGAAAGTGGGGACAAGGCTGTTGTGGAAGAGGACGCCAAGGCGGCAGAAGCTTGGTTTGGTGTAGAAGGCTTACAGCCGTATATGTTTGAGCCCATTCCTCACAACGCTGCCAGTTCTGTTAGCTCTACGCCTGCCAAAGACACAGACGTCCATCCCCGTGAACACTGGGACGTAACTCAATGGTAAAGTAAATGATTCTTATTTCTTATTTCAACCGTTGCGTATATTAGCTGCGACATATGTATCAAGGTGCTATGACTGAAAAAAATTGATTGACAGATGACGTTTGATATATGATTGGCCGAATTTAGGTGTACAAGCTGACGTATAACTAACTGGCCTGCATAAAATAGCGACAGATAGACAGAATGATTTGACATTTAAATATGATTTCCCTTTTTTGCATGGAACTATGCAAAAAAGGCAAGCTGTGAACTAGTTAGTGAGAAAGACTCAAAGTATTTAAAGGATATGAAATAGATACAGATTTTGCTGTAGTCAATGAACGAGGTTACTGAATAATCTGGCGGTGTGCATCAGATGGTGAGAACTATGTTTGAGCTGGTACAGTAACTATCCCATTTTAAATAAAGCTTATTATTATTATGATTATTATACTTAGCATTCTAAAGCATGTGATAAATTCATCATAACATGCTTTGAATGTTCAGTTCACTGTCATACCTTGATGATTATGTGCTTTTTTCTTTTCCTCTTCCTTTAAAGGTCTTACTGTGGAGCTGGGCTGTAAAATCTGCCAGCATCACAGTCCAAAGACGATCCAACATGTGTGTGCTGATGTAAAAGTGCTGCTTTAGCAATAAACATTTAACTCATCAATTAACCTAAATTCCTAATGTGAAAAAAGACACAAAAAACCAAGTTCATCCTGGTCAAAGAGGCACACAGAGTCCCTGAGAGGCAAATAAACAAGAAGCTGCAATGCCTCGCTGTAAAAATAGACTAGCCAGTATCATTCTGCTGTACCTACTGAATAAGGCAACGTGACATAAAATCAAATATTAACCAAAAGCTCCTGGAAAACTGAGCAGTGGATGGATTTGAGAATATTTTAAGAAACTGGTGGAATTATGCAATTAAATAATGAATGCAAATAAGCTAACTGTATCTATAATTTAATTATCTTAATTATCTAATGCAAGAATTTTGGACCACTGGATGATTTTATAAGGGCAATATTACTCTTCTGGAAAAATATGCTGCCCTGGGTTCAACCCTGAGGGGATGTATGATACATTATGCTTACAGGGAACAACATGCATACATGTACCAAGCGGAGGAACCATAAATTCTACATGTGTGACAGCAAAATTGTGAAATACTTTTGGTCTCTCTTCCTTATTTGAACCATATGAGGTCCATTATAAATAAAGGAAGCAGTGACTTAAAGAGAGATTTGTCTTTGCTGCACAAAGGTGTTGAAGTTATTTTATGGCAAACACTTAAAGCCAAGCTTAAGAAGCATCCTGTTAATCCCTGCTTGGTTTGTAAAGCAGCAGAAAATGATGGGGAAACAGTGTGACCTTGCATTGAGTCTCCAGAACAAACTTACAAGTGACAATGAAGTTCTGGGAGCTAATATAACTATTATGTTGCTAGATTTCTTGCAAAACCAAACATCTAAATGGTATGCAGAGAGAGGTATTAGTTTGTATTTGCAGCAAATTGCAGAGCAGTTTTGCTTAAAAGCCATTAATCAGAGAAAGGTGGCAGGCACGGTAAACCGAGTGAAAATAGCATTAATCAATCTCTTTTCTTTTTATTATCACAAATATAGTAATACTGGCAACACATAGTAAAGCTTTGGACAAACTGAAGTGCATGGGATTTAACCATGTTTGAGAAGCCTGTGCCAAACTGGACAGAAATTAAAGCTGAATGAAATGTGTCAGTAAAGTTTGACAATAATAATCCCTAACACTAGAAATCTAACGTTAACATTCAAGCATGTAGTTTTTTTTTTGTTTTTTTTTTTTAAAAAGGTTGCAGATCGGCAACTTTGTTAGCATTGATATCTTGCAGCAATTCAAATCCTGCTAGAGGTGTTTTTGTCATTTCCTGTTGTCCCTATTCACATACTGTTAGTGGATGGATGTGTTTAAGAGATATCAACAAGAAGGGTTACACTTGGTATCAAGCTAGATTCACTTTAGCTACACAAAAATACCCAACTGAAGAGTGTCTGGTGACTAAGGAATCCGTGTCTACAAATATAAAATAATATCAAACCCTGAGCTTTTAAAATGCTAGACCTCAACTCTTTCTCCGTCTAACCCAACCATCAACAAAACATTTTTATCCAGTTTGTTCTCACATGTGATTGGCTGGTTCACTAATTGTTTTGATTGAGATGGGTTCAAAGGCATAGATACAAATCATTTTGGACTCTGATACACAACTGATCAAGTGTGGAAAAACCTATTTCTAAAGGGGGAACTTTCTTCTCCTATAAGTGCAGCAGGTAGCTGTGCTCTAATGGTCTTTGTCGGTGACCCCTGACTGCAAAAAATTGACATGTCACCTGCAAGCTGAAGAAATTGATTTAGTTTATCATCATCCACAGACTGCAGACATCTCACTAATCAAGAGACGATACAGGCGGTATGGCCAAAGGTTTTGGCTCTGGTCCAACAGGAATCATGGAGCCACAAAGCTGAAAGTCAACGTTTCAACATCAACTTAAAAGTCCTGAGGGCTAAACTGATTACACAGTTTGACAAAATAAAGCTGTGCACTAGTGCAGTAAGTAGAGGAGATTCTGTGTCACTAATGAGGTTTAAAAAAAGCTCTCAACATTATTATCAAGTTTATAATCATAAGTTTTTTTCTACTGAAGTGAAGAAAATACAACAGCATAGTAAATGGGAAGCATCAGGTTGCAAAAAATACAGACAGCTGGAACTCAAAATATAAAACCAGGTCAAAAGAGGTATTTTTATACAGCTAATAATGATCTGAGAACTAACAGGGTAAATTAGTTCTTCTATAAGTTCATGTAGGGAAGCACTTCAACATCCCACAGTTAAAGTTGCTCAGTAGAGAGGGGGCTAAAGTTCCTCCAAACTGATGCGCAGCAAAAATCAATAGTTTATGCTTAGTTATAGTTACTGCTGCACAAGTGGCAAAAATGTGCTTTTGACAAAGTGATTTTATTCGCCTGGGTTTTCTTTCCTTGTTTTAAGTGGAAGAAATCTCATGGTGACTTATGGTACTGTAACTCCTTTAAAATGCTTTTTCTGCCTTTTGTGACCTTAGATGCTTAACATCACACAAATTTCAGTGTTAGGAAAAAGTTAACCTTGGTAATGCATTAAGCATTTTCCAAGAAATGATTTTGGTTTCTAATGGAAAAAGATACAAACCATCTTTGCCCTATGAAAGAAAGTACGTAGTTATTTAATGATCCAAATCAGAAACCTATTATGCACTGATTAAAAGAGATTCAAGGAAAAATTAGAATAAAATCGAATGGCATTCATTAACTGGTAAGGGCAACTAGGCAATTTCTAAGGTTTTGGGACTCCAGGTGAAAACTAGTGAGAGCCAATATCCATAGATTTAACAATCAACCTTCCCAGGAGTGGCTGGTCTACAAAGCTTAGAGCATTAAGTAGTCATCCAAAACAACCAGGAACAGCACCCCAAGCAATGCAGCCCAAACCAGTTTTTACCTTTTTACATAAAACCAGAGTGGTTAGATAGCTTTTTTCTTTAACAAACTAAGGTTTGTTTTATGACATGAAAATGTTAGTCTAGGTGAAATACTTTTTTCTCTGCACTGTGGATCAGAAGAATACAAAAAAAAAACCTCCAACTTCCACTCAAACTTTTAGAAACCCCCGTCTTTAGTAAACATGTTGTTAAACAAAACATGTTATTTTGGTTGGATACAACTATTACCGATACAATAAAAACACATTTGCTATACAAATCAACACATACCCTTATTTGGAGTATAAATATGAGAAGAAGCATCGCTGTTTAAAAGCCAGCCACCAAAAACAATGGCGACAAAGTCAAATCACCTGGAGTTAATTTGGTAGTGCATCAACCTCAGAGAGATAACGCCTACGATAAAAATTTTTATCCTTTGAGATTCAGGCAATAGGTGGAGAGATAGAGGGCAATAAGGTTTTAAATTAGCTCACTGCTATATATACGTATGTAGTGGGTTGAGAAATGGAGTAGTCGATATTTAAAAGGAGTTCACTATAAATAACAAAAATTGAGTCTTATATATAGTCCGCCAGTGAAGAGTTTTACATACACTGATCTCCAGAATGAAAATCCTAACTTCTCCTAAGTGTGATCTCTTCATTTAAACAACTTTTTTTGCAGGATGTTTTATGCAAAACAGCAGATAAACCTGGACTTTTTTAATGCGATTAACACATTTTTTCATAATAACTTTCACCGGGAGAGTTATGTTTTTATTTAAGTTTGTCTGTCTGTCTGTCTGTCTGTCTACAGGATACCCTGAAAGTTATGAACAGATTTTAATCAAATTTCTACCAAGGGTGCACCTCAGTCCAAGGAACAATACATTTAATGTTAATGTTGGTGATGATCCACATCATTATCAGGATGCAGGAATTCTTTAAAGGATTCTTTAACATTATTTGGCAGAACAAGCATTCCCCCCACCCCAACCAGAAAGTGGCAGCAGCCTCGTTCAAAGTCCCGATTTGCTGATCAAAGAAGAAAGCAAGTGCAGGGTGAATGAAGGAGATGAGAGCAGAACAAAGACCAGAGGCTGCAGACACCCACTGTACACTATAAAACCAGTATCAAGGTCCAGTGACATGATTAACATCCTTACAAATGACCATTCTTCTCCTATTATCATTAACTAGAAATACCTGATTCCAACTGATATTACTATCTAAATCCGTTCTTTGCATTTAATACAATCAAATCCCCACAGAGAAGCTTAAAATAGATTATTGATCACATCAAAACTAATCAAGAATGCGGGAAAAAAGTATTTGCTGTTTACACCACAAAACACAGCGTCTTGCTTTAATGAGCTTCATTATGAATCACATAAACCTTTATTTAAATACATTTTAGTTGTGTCTTTTGTTTAGAAATACCTGTAATGCTGTCTTTGTATAATCCCTGAAGGCACTGCAGGTGAAGAAAGGATTCAGAAGTCCTATAGTGTCATTCTAAGGGTTAGTGAAGAGCACTTGGAACTATGGCTGCAACCAGATCAGCTTCACACCTACAAGAAAATTAAAGCAAATAAGGACAATTATCATCTCCAGAATGACCGATGTCAATATTTTTTTTTTATCTGTTTGGGAATACTTTTAAATCTGAGAATGTGAAGTGAAACTTTTTTTTAACACCTTTTATATATATACATATATATATATATATATATAGTTTTGCATTTATTTTTGTTTTGCATATATTTAGTCCTAAAATCGTTTTTTTAAAGTCAGCTGATGACCAAAACTCATCAGGTGCTAAAGATAAGCAAAAACAGAAGAGAATTGATAATGTTTTTTATTATAACACCGTATCAAATAAACAACTAGTAAAGCAAAGTTTTGCAGGGTTGTGTGGCTTTAGTTGTGATAATGTTTCTGGGAGATAATTATAAAAAGTTTAATCAGTCCTGGAGAGAAAAAGCCATCAATGACGAGTTCAATTAGTTTGTCTAACATTAAATCTTAGATTGGATAAACCACACGGAAAAACTGCTCCTTATTTTCTTTTCTTGCTCAGACAAGTATTTTCCAAGTTCCACAGGTGTATTAAAGGCAAGGACAAAAAAATAAAACAAATCAAACACCATTGCATCTTAAAAAAGGGGGTGTGACACAGGCAAAGCGAAGTTGTACTGTAAACACATCAGAGCCCTCCTTTGACCCTAACAATCCAACTCACCAGGTTCAGCGGGTTTTCATGTTTTCCAAGAACTATTGTCTTGTTAATTCACAATGTATATAACCTCAGTGTGCAGAATATTTACATGCAAAGAAAACAAAGACTGAGAAGAAAAAAAACATTGATCACACAGTTATCTTTTTGAGAATAACTTTCTTACAAAAGGCTCAGAATTGCAACGACTTCAAGCGATTGACTACAAACCCAACAGCATAACCTGATCATAAAAAAAGCTGCATTCCTTCAATAGGTGTCTCTGAACACTAATTAAAGCTGAAGCAGGAGCAAGTGTCTTGACAGAAAAACCAGTTCAAAAAAGTGGGTCAAACAGGATCCTTCCAAAACAGCTGCACACATTAACGCTGCAAGAAAGATCTGGTATAAAGCACTATGTCACAGTGGAGAAAATATTATTAGAGTGATCAGTTGTAAAAAGAATATTAATTTTATAAAGACTCCATGGAAAATAGCTTTCATCATCCCCAGCTGTGGCATTACGTCTCCAACAAATTTCTCCATCTTTATCTGAAGCAGGTTACTTACAAAGTGAGTCATGAGCTGAGATGAAGCAGTCTGATTGAACTCCTCAGGTAGACTACTTTTTATCCAAAAAAAAAAAAAGGCCCATCCAGTCCAGAAACAACACTCATTTACTCATAGTGAGAGTATCAGGATGTGGGCATGTTCCAACCCGAGCAGCAACCTACTTTTGAGCAGATTATGCATTCATGGTTTAACTGTTGCTTGTTCTTACTTCTTTTAACTTAATGATTTATTCTCCCTAAAGAAATAATTACAACAAGTTTCTTGATCTAACTATTTTCTCTGTTTTTTGTTTTGTTTGTTTTTTTGCTGCTCTATTAATCAGAACCGAGGATCCAACTTTGGTAACTAGTTTGGAATTGAAAATCTGGAGAGAAAAAACACTATGGATTAGATTTTGGAGAAAAGATGGTGTTAACTGTAAGCTGCAGGCTTAGTTTCTTAGGAGCAAACACAGAACTGCATTATTATTGGCTGGAGGGAGAGAGAGAGAGAGAGAGAGAGAACAGGGTGGTCTTACCGTGCGTATCTGCGGGTCGGTTATCTTTCCTTGGCAGGCCTCTTACATTGCGCCCCTCACTCACTTCTACAATCAAATAGAAAAAAAATAAAGTGCACAAAGAACCACTTTCATTATACAATAAAAATCTCACTCTGCAATAAGAGATCAAATGTTGCACTGATTGCAACGTGCGTGAAAAGTTTTCAACACATTGAAAACTTTTGGAGAATCAAAGATGAGCGTTTGGAGCCGCATGTGTCACCGTAAAAAAAAAACACATCATCTCCCCATGAGAAGCAGCAGCACATACCTGTAGTTTCCCTCCCCTGTCGTCGCCGACTCACTTAACTTCCAACCAATTTTCCCCCCTCACTAAGATTGATCTGCCTGGCTGCGTGACGGGGATTTCTCGCGTGTCTGAAAGGCGATGCGCGCTCCCGGTGCGGGACTGTGGCACAAACTAATGCGGGACGCTGTGCTGTGCTCCGAAGAGGATGCCCCTGCCATAACTTTCTCTTCCTTTACGCGCAGGAGCAGCAACTCCTCATCTCTGAGCGCAGCCTCAGCATCGCTGGCTTTGCAGAGGAGCAGCCACGTGATGGGGTGGTCGCAGTGAGCCCCCCTGTTTAAGGGCTGAAAGGGTGGAGGCAACTCTGCTTGTCAAAACATCCAAGTCACCCCATATTTCACTCAGGTGCGGCGCCTTAAAATGCGCCCTGCCCGTCTGGCGTCTTTCAACACGCCTTGGAAACGATCTCACATTTTATCACTTAGAACAAAAACTGAAAAAATGTATGACATTTTACAAATGTACAAATGTACTAATAGCTACACCCCTATAATTAGACACTCCTAAATAAAATCCAGTAGAACTGCTTGCAGTTAATTCCTATGCTCCACTTATCTGGAACAAACTTCCAGAAAACTGTAAAAGTGCGGAAAGCCCGAGTTCCTTTAAATCAGGACTAAAAACACATTTGTTTAGGATTGCCTTCAACTGTTCTAGTTAAAAAGTTCAACTGAAACATCATTTGTTCATTTTTTTCTTCTTTTTTATTTTCTTTATTCCAACTGCTTTTAAAGTTCTTTCTTGTTTCTGCATCTTTTTTATTATTTATTTTTTCTTCTACTTGCTCTGATTGTGTTTTATTTTCCTATATTTTAATAATGTAAAGCACTTTGCATTGTCTTTGTACTGAATTGTGCTGGACAAATACATTTGCCTTGCCTTGCCCTGTAGAAATGGCCAATTTGAAGGAGAGAAAAAAGCCAACACAGTATTTTTATCTCATAATGCACCCAGCAGTTTGGTAAAAGCCTCAACCATGCCATACATCATACAGGTCAGGGATAAAGTTTAGGACTGAAGATATCAGTCATTTTATTAACTAATTAATGTCATAACTAGTTTTTTTCACTTAGCATTTAGTCTAAAAACAGATACTCTCAGTAGATCAAATATATCCAACATTATTGTGCATCATAAATGTGCTGTAAATGGTAAAAATAAATAAATGCTCAGAAATGTAAGGTCTGTACGGAGCATATGCACAGACAAAAAAAAGGCCTCTGATCTAAACTGTAAGAAATATCCTTTTTTTTGTACAGTGTTGGTTTAAACACAACATTCCTAGAGTGGAATATGTTGGTTCCAGCCCTATAACTGTGGGAAAGCTTTGCTCCTACTGGGTGAGGCTTGAAGAAGAATTGAGACTTAGGTGGTGGTTTACCTTCAAGGCATCAAAATATATTCAAGTTAGGAATTTACCAGTGGAAAAAAAAGAAGAAAAGACTGATTGAGCTGTTTGACAAACGAAAATGTGTCAATGTGCAAAACTGGTAGAGCGCTATTTGAAGAGGATTGATCCAAAACAGGTCCTTTTTTTAATCAGAATTGCAAATGCTCACTTTTTTTTTTTGCCAGTTTCATTTGTAAATCATATTCCATTTTTCATTCTATCATGTTGTGTTTCCCTTTTTTTTTAAACCCCCCAAAAAACACTCTTGCATGTTGTTCTGATGTCATAAAATGTGAATACCTTGTGCAAAAAAAAACAACAACAAAAAACACTGCAGGTTGCAAAATATCTGTATGGACAGTTCATTCATTCTTTTCATTCTGCTGTTTGCTCATTTTGCAGTGAGCAATTTAAACAATGTTTTAAGGGCAACAAGTTCATGATTACCATCTTTCAAACTGGTTTTGCATCTAAGGGGTGAGTGCACTTTTGCTGCCAAGGAAAAATGAATCGGTTAGCCATATAACTATCAAAAGAGAAAATAATGAACACTTAGCACGCAGGATGGCAGCTCAGGGTAAAGTTAAAGTTTATTTAGGGTTGTTATACAATGCTTCAGATTAAAGAAAAATCTTGTCAAACAAAAGACAAAAGCAGGCGGGCTACAGAAGGCTGCATATGACAAACAAGCTGCTCTGCAATATGCAACTGGTACAAAAGCACTGACAACCTGCAAAGATGTCTAGGACTAAATATACACATAAAAAAAACATTGCAGAAGTAAAAGTTTCCTGTTTCTCAGATTTGTTTGGATTGCCTATATTTAGTCTCTGTTCATGTGTTTGTTTTATTACAATATAAATGCTGAAGAGTCGTGGAGTCTTCAGGAGGCGATCTTGTGGACTGCTATGGTTATGCTCCCGTGGCTTCTCACCAAGATGTTCCTAGAAAACCATAAAACAGAGAAATGGCACATTAAAACACATGCTGATTAGGACTGCTCATCACTGGAAGGAAAATGCAATTTGCATTAATATTAGTGAATGTCACAACTAGAATCATTCAAAAGTGTTAATGTCTGCCTGCTCTTTGGTCATAGAGAATATGGACCCAGATAACAAGTAATCAGCCCAGGGAAACAATTTAAATTATTACTGGAATGAAGAAATATCTATGCATCTTTTGGATCTACTTTAGCATATGTAGTTACTTTAACACCACTGGTTCATGTTATCAGAATAGGACATGAAACAGTTTTTTTAAACTTTTTAACTAAACATGCTTAGGCAGATGCAAAAGAAGCATGAAGTTCTTTTTTTTTCTTCAGTGCAAAATTTGTTATGTTGGCATAAAACCACCACAGACCCATACATGATATATATATGACTTAAAGTCTTAATCCCATTTCAACCTTCATGTTTGGTTAGACGAGTTTCACCTCGTGGATTACGAGCATAAAGGGCCTAAATGCATGGGGCTTAGATTATTAGCCAACACTTATTCCAGTCCAGATGCATCACCATATGCATATTGTATACAGGGATGAGGTGAAAATAATGAATTTGCTGTATACTGAGCAGCACTAATGCTGATTTGGTGAACAGATAGATATACTTTACTCAGCTCACTCACTTCCCCATATTCAACATGATACATAAATATATTATTTAATAAGTAGACGTAGCCTGTATTTATTTATCTAAAACATGATTCAAATGTTAAATAGGCCACACAATGTTAAATGCAAAATTAAA